TTTCTACACCAGATTTAACGAAACTCCGTAGATTCATGGACTGTTGGATGAATGAATGAATGGTGGGTTCCATTTGGTCATAAATGCCCATGCTATGGACCATGCACGTTTAAATGTATACAATACGCGTACTGTGCTAACCCTAATACAGCTAATAAATCATTTCCCCATCCAGCGTTTTGTTTGTGGATATACTGATTATTGCACGGGCTATTTACACCCCTTGTTGACATCATATACAAGAGACGCTGTACAAAGATGACAGAAACATCGAATTAAATCTTTAATGATTCATCTCTCAGTTATTTGATAAAGAGCGATGTGAAGTGTAAGATTATGTGTAGGTAAGACGGTGTACAGAGGAGACAGGGACGGTGTTTGATTTGTATATTGATCTGTTTCATGGCATTGGTACAAGAAAGTACAGTTCATATTTACCAAGATGGGTGGACCGTGTATGAAGGAGCAAAGTGAGTTCAGTTTCGTGGAAAAAAATGATGATCGGTCTTCTTGTTTGATTTTCTGAGGATATAGCGATAAATGCCACTCCCCCTCTTATACGCGGGGCTAGTTCATTGATATCCTTAATAGGTTTTTCAGAGTGAAGCGAAAGCACATCAGATGTGGCTTTGCAATACCCGCTAACTGACAGTAACTCATCATTTTGCAGATTTCTCAATTCTTTGAAGATTAATTTATATTCACGTGATCAGAGAACTGTCATTATTTTGTCAGAGAGAGAGAGAGAGAGTCGCCCATTTAATACATTTATCTTCACATTCCGATAATAACAGTATAATACTGTCACCATGCCCCTCAGTAGCATATGCTCTACCTGGTCACCCGCAGAGAATACGCACCTGACATCTAATTAAGCATACAGGAATGTGTTTGTCTCTCACATTCCAGGAGTGAGCCACTTATTTGGTTAGATACATACCTCCGTGACCTGACATATATGACATTGATGGCCCCTATTGCAGTAACATACACCCTTCCTTCGTCTATTCAGCCGAGTGCCGACCAAGAGAAAAATGTCACACGGGTTAATATGCTGTTGTCATTATTATCTACGAATAATTTTCTAATACACATACCGTCACACACAAATCATTGGAATTCTTTAATCAAACATTTCCCTCTGTTTCTAAACACATCTTTTCCATATTCATCAAGGTATTTTATATCTTTATAACTTAAATGAACTAAGACGTCATGTCCATCCCCGGTCAATCCCATTTAATTGGGCAACATTTTATGAAATCCAAATCTTCAGTTAATGAGTAGTAATACAAATATATATCCAAGCTTCACTGTCATGGTAATGTTTCGAATATTTCAAATAGTTCAGCTTTGTTCACACAGCATTGATTAGTCATACTGTGCAATTAAAACGCAATGATAGTAATTGCACTAAACAGGTGTTGGCGCACAACACTACACAACACAATAAAACACAACGCAGCACTATACTACAATAAACCAAGAACACTTACGTCTAATCCTTGGTACCAAAAGGTGTTGGACTGTATAATAACCCACTTGCCTTTACAAAATAATAATTAATAATAAGCTATGAAAACGGAAATGAAATGAAAAAAAGAGAAAAGAAATAGATGAAGCTGTATAAAATACACATAATAGACAATAATCAACCGTGAATTAGCTGGTGCCTTTTAAGCGCATTTCCATATGAAACTTTACAGTCTTGGAGGTTTACATTGTTCATGTTACTTCTATTGTCAGTGTCAATTTATAGTTTTATTGAAGGCGTTTCTTATAATTTCAGATGTGCTGTAGGGGGCATTGAGGTTTTAGTGGACTGCGCCATAAAATAATTTCTCCGTCTTATTATTATCATTATTTTATTATAGACAAGATTTAAAAGATGAATGAATCTAGCACTTGTCACTATGTAATGCATGATTTAACAATTCATCACTAAAGCACGGTGTATGTCATTCAGTGAACGCCATGTTTTCCTACTGCGATATCATAATCACGTCATTAAATTGGAACGCTGAAGTGGAAGAGCGTCCTCCTTCACATCCGGCGAGGGTTAGTCTTGTCATTCTGCCCTCCGTTCATGCACTGTGTTGCTTTCTTTATTTATAAAAAAAATACCTAGCGTTTGCTTCTTTAAAATGCAATTTGTGCATAAATCATCTAAATTCTGACACGTCTTCTGTTGTAAGTCTGAATAACACTGCTTATTAAGCCTTCACAGCGCATATTCTTATCTAAATAAAAAAAGGAAGAATATGTTTTCATTGTAGGCCTATACATGTATAATTGGGCAGAACAGGTTGGGAAGCATACTGCTACTGTCTCTACGTTAAATGTTTTTTATCTCTGTCTGTAAAATTATTATATATATAGATACATATAAAACGCATTAGATAAACAACAGTAAAATCGTCATGAATGAATAATCAAAATACGTCTGACTCACTTCAAAAAGCGCCGCAACTGGAAAAACCGCATAAAAATATCATTCCACATTCAACAAGTAACGCAGTGGGGCTTAACCTAGTTTACCCGTTATAACGTTAAGTGTGGCAATATGTGGACCTTCCTCGCCTCTTACTGGAAAATGGGAGGCCGGGAGGATAGGACGAAGAGGAGGATGGTGTGTCAGGGGGAGAGAGGGAGGGACAGACAGGTAAAATGAACACGAGGTTCTATTAGACCGCGGTGATAAGCGAAAAACAGATAGTTGACATAATGTATACACTGTTATGTGTAGAGGGTTCGTGCACTTACGTGTCATTATCGGTAATGTGTGTTTATATTTAGTCCGGTAGTGAGGTACTGCAAGGTACATGTAGTTGTGTTGACTTGACACGCTGTTTATAAGTTTAATCGGTCCACGATTAGAATTTAGGGAAAAGTTCACCCTGGACCAATTCCGTGTAGGCTATCCTTATTAGTATATAGGTTCAATAATATTGGAGATATTGTAATATGAAACATTCTCTCTCTCTCTCTCCTGATTTTGATGATTAAATAACACCGGGAGAGGGAAAGAGAGAGAGAGCCTCTTTAGTGTCAGAGAAAGATAGGCGGATAGAGGTCATCAAAGCCAAAGCATTGTATTTCTTAACACTGAAAAATCAACGTAGACTATAGGGTATAAACCTGTAAATTAAAGCCACTATGGCGATTTAACCTTTTTAAAACTAAGAATCTTAACATCAAAGTCGACAGTTTTTTTCTGAATTCCGTACAACTTATTCAGGCAAGACCCACTAACTTAATTATCTATGACGCGTGCAGTTAAATAGTTGTTTATTGTTAGTTGGTTAAATAGGCCGTCTTTAAATCACTCAGCATGGGGTGCATTGTATTGGGTTGGAGAACTCAGGAGGCAAAGCAAGGACCGGATTTACAGTGGCAGTCAACATAAATAAAAATGTCAAGTTAGACACAGTGTTCAAGGGTTATGTACGAAGCCAATATGCCGTCTCCAATAATTGTCTATGAATAAGTAATGCCCTCTTTCTTCCAAAAGTATATAAATAAATGAAAAAAGTTAATAAATTTGGTAATAAAGTTAAAATTATCGATTATGTTTGTTTATACTTGTTTACATTAATTGATCACCTTATTGTTTTATTTCTATCATTCATTGTTTATTTATTTATTTATTTATTTATTTATTTATTCATTCATTTATCTCTTATTTTGTTTTACATTTCAGCCTGTAAGTGGCGGCCATTCAAACAAGTTAAACACAATTTCACAACAAGTTGATTCGCCACGGTCATATTCAAACCATGCGTACGAGGAAGACAAACATGGTGGCGCTAGTAGTCATCCAGGCGCGGACCCGGCTCCTCATGAATACAGAAATATCCCTCAAGAGGGCGCTGCAGGCGCTGCCGGGCATGAATATCGGAATATCTCAGCCAATAGATCCCCGTCCCAGCAAAACAGGAGCCGTGGATCTGAGAGAGAAGACCCTCACCACTCATATAGGAATATACCAGAACAAAATGGGTCCCATGGGAATTACAACAATAAAAATGTCACAGAAATTCGGCAATTTGACGGTGCCAAAGAGTCCCCGTATAGCAGGCATAGACAAATACCACAAAACAGGTCACAAAACTCTCGTAATAAAAAACCCTCACAGAAGGGAGATAACAGAGAGGTGGCGGAGTCACAGTATCTTCCTATGGACAGATTTAGTGGAGAGGGGCGGGACCCCCACCCACACGACGAATACGACCAACTAGCGCCGCCTAGGCATTCGTCGCCTCCAAAGCAGGCCTCACCAGAGGTCGCTGGTCACGAGTACAGGAACGTTTATGATCATAAATTCCAACCTTATGATGAGAGATCTGCGGATATCACTCGGGGAGAATCTAAAAAATCCTACCTGAATATGGAAAGGCTAGACGGAACAAGACAATCGGACATAATATTGGAGGATAATGAAGAACATTATAAACACCCAGTTAGGGCCTATGATAATCTTGCCGTTGTGAAACCCACTGTACGTCCAAACAACGTCGACGTCGGTGCCTACGACAATCCGGCGTATCGCAACAGCTCCTACGAGATCGCCCCTGGCGGAAAACCCCACCCGGAGAATACGATTCTGCGTACAGAGAATGCGTACACCGATGAGCCAGACATAGGTATAGGGCGTATCCGACGGGAGCCGAAATACGAAAGTAGAAAGTCGTATATTGAAGCAGTGGAGTCGTCCAAGGTCGATGGCGAGGACCAGAAACGCGCCGCCAAGAAAAGGGTCATTATCATTGTGGTTGTTGCGATTGCTTTTCTCATTGCTGTTGGGATTGCGCTAGGACTATACTTTGGAATATGTAAGTTGGAACTGTTGTCTCACATGAGTTTGTAATTCTTGTCCCAGTTGTACTCGACAATTCTCACTGTATGATACATGTATGTGAGGTCTAAGCTGGAATCCCTGCCATATAGGCTTGTTATTGGAGAATATTGTGATATTTTTTTTCTTTGCAGTTGAACAAGAAAAAATTCAATTATAAGCAATCAGTATTTCAGTAGTCCTATACACGAAAATAAGAGAGTTTTCAGTTACAACCTCACAACTTTCAACAACATAAAAAACAAAACATTCACAGTATAATCAGACATTAAACTGCACTAAGAAATAGGACAGTTTTTGAAAAAATTGCTTTTTCGTTAAGGGTACAAACCAGAAGAGACGTTAACAACGCCGATGCCAACGCCCACTTCCACACAGGGACCAGCTGGTCTGGGTAAGCTCAAATGCACGTGCAGTATCAGCCAAATGACTTTATGCTGAGTCAGAATAGTCTTCTTAAGTCTGTAGTTAGCTGTTTATAGAAATTATAGTTTATGAACATGGTATGTTTTGAAGTTTAACCGAGCAGTGCCAAAATGTCGATGAAAAATATTATTAATTAATCAATTGTGCCATAATGCACCTTGTCTTATTTAAACATGATTTGTGATTCCAGTCCAGTACAGTGTCGAGGCGACGATAGAGGGAACATGGAGCCCCGATCTCAGTAATCCTAACTCCCAAAGATATCAAAACTTATCTGCCGCATTTAAAGAACAGGTGGGTAGTATCGGCCGTTATGTTGTTCCATTTCGTTATAATGTGACTACAGATGAAGCATGGACCAAATTACGAAATATGTCCAATAATGAAGTAAACGTTTCACGCTTGAAATGTTGGTTTGGCATCTGGACGTTTTAAGTTTTCAAGCGTTTCGTAAAGGAACATATCGAATAACCAGTGAATTATAGCTCAGTTTGTTTAAGCAATTTACTATTGAATATCATAAATTTTAATATTTCAGATGAGTGTTATTCTCAAAGATGGAACATATGGTTCTCAATATAACTCTATAGAAATATCAGGATTCCGGTGGGTATTCAGTTGCTAATCCTTCAGTTTTTCTACACAAATGATTAATCACATTGACGCAGTATAAATGTTTAAAGGGTAAAAAACAAGTAAATAGCGTTTTCTAAATTTTTATTTCAAAATAAAAAAGTGAGTTGGACAGTATACTTAACCTTGTCAAATGGTTTGTACCTACCTGTAGTTCGATGGAGGTGCATTATTTCGAGTCTCATTACCCCTCTTAATTTTGGCACAGTGAGATTAAACAAATGGTTGTATTGTACAATGTACCTTCCAGAAATGGTAGCATTAAAGTAGATTTCAAGGTGATATATCTCGTGTCACCCGATGCAAAGGAACCCCTTACTCCAAGAGTCGTTGAGAAGGACATGGAGACCGGTATAACCAAAGCCAGGGGAGACAAGACCCTCAAGATTGACATACAGCCCGACGTACTTATACAAGGTAGGTCCTGTCTTACTTGTTCGAGACATAATGGCAAAAGTAAAAAAGATGGACCACTTTACTTTCACAATAATGGAAAGGCAAAATGTTTTATTTACACATTTTGTAGAAAAAAGATATCAAAGGCAATATATATGCTGGTTGGTGATTCTATACGTTCATTATCTCATTACCTAATGTGCATAGCAGAAAGTGACTCTATCACGACAACTCAGCCAAAGATGACAACAACGCAGCTAGCGCTGAATATAACGACAGTCCTGTGGACGATGCCGTCTAGAGGTACTGTGGTCAGGTGACCGCACGGTGTGTTTTGAAACCCTCTCTATCACCCAAGCATGTCTTGTTTTTGAGCCATCACGTTACGCTGTAAACGTGTTCATGCCGAATAGATTTTAGCAGATCATTTTATTTCCATGTGTATCTTTATATTTGCATGCAAAATTGGCACTTTCTGCTTTCAATTTCCAGAAGAAAATAATTGGGAAGACCACTGCAGCTCATTTTTGTTTTGTTTTTGTACTATTGTCATCCTAAAGCAGACTTGAGCCTCGTTTAAACTGTACCCGTCGTGTTTGTTTGATTGTTTGTTAGTTAGTTTATTTGTTTGTTTGTTTATTAGTTTGTGTGCCTATGTGTTATGTTTAGTGAACTACATATCTGCATGTGCAGCCTGATAGTTTGTTTCCCTTTTTTCCACTGCTGCTTGCATGCACGCAGCACATTAAAATATCTTCAGGAATTATATGATAAAAACAAAACGACACCTTGAAGGAAGAATGTGTCATCTCCTACTGCTGCCTTTTCCAAAGTCACACAATGCATTCAAATGTATCAACGGCTGTTTTTAGTGAACGAGAATAATTTCAAGTAGCCATTATACCTCAGAACACTTTCATTGCATCGAACATGAGATGGTGTTTCAAAATCTAATAAATAAAGGGAAATATAAAGTAGTGAATTATGTCATTTTTCACTTGTACATAAAGTTTACACTAGTTTTTCAGCTAACTTGTTAAGATATTTAAGTCCCGTCGCTGTGTGTTCCAGTGCCGTGTTTCCTAACGGACCAAATCGCCTGTCTAAACGGGACTTGCATCAACAGAGACTTACTCTGCAATGGAAGACTGGACTGCTCGGACGGCTTTGATGAGTCGGAAGTTGTTTGCCAAATTGGTAAGTTGATAAAGGATGTACTTTTGTCCTTATTCAGCAAGACAGTTTTCTCTCCAGTACATAGCATTTGGTTGTCTATAGCTATGTTCAGGTGATTAGAATATGCCTGTTAACGTTTCGCATCATGTGCAGAATTCATAATAATATTTCTTTTCTCTCGGTCATTTCAAATAACCTCGAAGTTACTGAAAAATCAATGTCACAATTTTAGAGAATCAAAGGATTTTCCTAACGACCTAATTTTTTTTCTATTTTTTTCTATTTTTTTTTTCTATTTTAACATTGTAGGTAAAAGTGTCACGTGCACCTTTGAGTCGGACAATGCCTGCGGTTACCAAAATGCCCCAAACCAGCGTCTGCCATGGCGCCGGTTCAAGGGGCAAACGTTTACAGCTGGGACCGGCCCCGCAGCTGACCACACCTTTGGGACATCAGAAGGTAGGTGTAATATGACGTCACCTTAAGCTGAATATGACGTCATCTTTTTATTAGATATGACGTCGGCTTTAAGGGGATTGTTTAGATGGCAAGGACTTGAGTGTGTTATTTATTATAATTTTTTTTTTTGCTTTGTATTCAAAAACTTTCATATCTCTTAGATATAGAATGAGTTGTGCGACATGAGATGTATTTAATAGCCAACACATCTTAATTGTTTGTTCATCAGTTGAAAGTCCAGAAAATCAATTATTCTAAACTTAATTGTAATACCATTTGTTCACCTCAGGAGCATACATGTATGTGGAGAACTCTCGCAGTATTCTCCCGACCACATCCACCCTGTGGTCGCCGAGTATAATTAACAATGCAACGTCACACTGCGTGGAATTCTACTACCATATGTACGGCCTTGACATTGGGAGACTTACCGTACTCTCGAAGCAGGTATCAGGATCAGAGAGTACAATATTCATAGCTCAAGGTGAGCGAAGAAATGATTGGATTAGGGGTCAGGCTCAGGCACCACGTGGTACCACGCAGATAGGTTTCAAAGTTCAAACGAAGGGGCGTGGCCTGGAAGACCAGGGGGATATCGCTATTGATGACGTCACACTGAAAACGACCGACTGTGTTTACGAAGGTAAGTAAAAGAGACGAGTAAATTTTTTCAGGACTTATTTTCGTTTATTAAAGAAATTACCATTTTACTCAAGGAGTGCCGAGTGAAATAATTTTCAGTTTGTGTTTGTGCGTGCTTGGCTCGCACGTCAATTACGAAGCACATATGTGAATCGCGTGTGACATATGCTGTTGCTGTTGTTTGCCAGAAGATGTGCAGTGTTGTTGAAGAGTTGTAATAACATTGACTCTCGCTACGCAGCACTATACTAACATGATATGATTTTATCTCTTGTTGTAATAACTTAAAGTACACTTAATTTGCTTACATTTCACAAGCTGATATATAATTTGATTATGGCGTTCAAGTATTTTTGGTTTTTTTAACTGGGTTCTTTTAACCGCACGTTTGTTGTGGCAAACTTTGTTGTTAGTGGCGTGTCGTATAATTATTTGCTTGCCCCTGCTTTGAATGATTCTGGACGTGGTATTGCTTTTCATTTTTTGCAGCATGCACGGAGCTTGAGTTTGCCTGTAACAACAAGCAGTGTATTCCCTCCTATCAGCGCTGCGATAACTTCTCTCAGTGTTTGGACGGAAGTGACGAAATGAATTGTGGTAGGTTCAGTCAACGATTAGAATACATTTACGCTGCCCAAGTTTTTTTTAATTAACTTTTTTTTTTAACTTCAAATATGTGCTTTTAGATCATTGTTGTGGTATATACTGTAAGCGACCAGAAACAGCCTCATCATTTTTAAACTTTGACATTAAAATTAACTTACAAAAAGCTAATCCAAGGTATACAAGTTACGGATCTGGAAGACAACTATTTATATTCATGCAAATTGTTGTATATGAATTAATATCTCACGTACTCGCAAAACATAAAAAATACGACTAATTTCCGGACGTTATAGAAGACATAATAATGGACTCAGTTTGGAAAATGTGAGAAAAATTAAGATTCAAAAGACAAACTATACAGACCTCAGGCTAAGGAAATTACCAGGAGAACTATTTCCTCGTTATGACCGATATACTTCCCCTCTCATTCCAGAGTGTCCAGTGAACAGGGTCAAGTGCCCGGGAGAAGCCAAGTGTATCATGAAAGAGTGGCTATGTGACAGCTACAGGGACTGTAATAACGGCTGGGACGAGGAAAACTGTCGTAAGTCCCATCATGTAGTCGGCTTTACTGAAATGGATAAGAAAGACTAGGGAATATGGATACATGTGGCAAATATTTTCCGCTTGCCAGCTTTAACATTATATTACAGCCTATGCCTTAATGTTATTTCCTTGTTAGGCTACAACAATACGAATGTATGTTTATAAAATATAAACAAAATATTGGAAATGATGATATGATGGATTTGCAGAAGTAATCTGTACGAGCTGACTTTCATAAAATAATTCAATTCTGACGATGTACAATATGAATTTTCTAGCAAGCTGTTCCACGTCGGAGTTCGAGTGTGGAGACAAGAGTTGTATCCCTGCCTCCCAGAGATGTGACGGTACGAGCCAGTGCCCCGGGGGAGCGGATGAGCAGCGTTGTGGTATGTGTCTTCCTCGCTATTCAAACTATTATCTTTTAATTATTCCGCCAGATGGTGGTTTGTACTAATTAAGGTTTTCGAGTCTACTTTGAAGGGTAATCATTTGGCCCGTGGCTGTTTTGTAAATAACCAATGTAAAACATATATGTCCCGAAATTAAACAAACGCAAGATGACTAAACTTTTAGTTTGAACTTTAAAAGGAAAAACTGTGCCGCGAGCCGGGATTGAACCAGCGACCTTCAGATCTCTGGACGACCTTGTGCTTCACAAGACGGCTTCAGTCTGACGCTCTCCCAACTGAGCTATCGCGGCTCTCATACCCTTAAAAGGTGGATAGTTTCGCCGGTGATATAAAGTGATATAATTAGGGATAATTGGCTTACTGATGTCAGATAAATTGGTAATTTGTGCGTATTTGAAAACGCCCGAGTCTTACCTAATTGTTACCAATGACTTAGACATATAATTAGAAGTAAATTGAAAAAGGATACATTAAGAAAACAAGAACGTGGCAATCTTCAGAAAAAATAAAATAAAACAAAATAAAATAGATAAATTTAAAAAAAATTGCCGCGAGCCGGGATTGAACCAGCGACCTTCAGATCTCTGGACGACCTTGTGCTCCACAAGCCGGCTTCAGTCTGACGCTCTCCCAACTGAGCTATCGCGGCTTTCATGTGGTTGCGACATTGGATAGTTTCGCCGCTGATATAAGGTGATACAATTAGGAATAATTGGCTTATTGGTGGGAGATAAATTGGTAATTTGCGTGCATTTGAAAATGCCCGAATCATAACTAATTGTTACCAATGAATTAGACATTAAACTGGAATTAAATGTATAAAGTATACCATAAGAAAGATGTGACATTATTCAGAAAAAATAAAACAAAATAAAGTAAATATATTGAAAAAAACTGCCGCGAGCCGGGATTGAACCAGCGACCTTCAGATCTCTGGACGACCTTGTGCTCCACAAGCCGGCTTCAGTCTGACGCTCTCCCAACTGAGCTATCGCGGCTGATACGTCATTCAAGATATGGATATTGTCGCGGCTGATGTAAAGCTGACGCAATAAGCATAATTTGCATGATTATGTGATATCAATGTGATATGAAAGATAACTCGCGCGCATCTGCAAAGGTAATTATCTCTCCCAAGTCAGACCTTAAATGCGATAATCTCTCCTCAAATAAAAGCTTATCTCAATTGTACCTAATGCCGACATCTTCTTCTGAGCCTTGGGCCTCATTCACAATAGGGGACTAACTAGTACTTCGCCACGGGATATAAGTGTCTAATTCGAGGAATAGACGGCAAGTTTTGTAGTGTGTCGCCATATTTGACCCTCGGACTAGTTAGTCCCCTATTCTGAATGGGGCCTTAGATTCGTTTATGGTCAATGCCTGGGCATGTCGGCACCTTATGCAGGAAATAATATACATGTAGTTCAAAATATGAATACATTACTGTAGTCAATCGTTAATGTAGGGTTTTACCTACATATTTCCAAGAAGGTAAACGCAGGACAACAATATGTTTAAAATGACATTTTATAAGGATTCATGCCGCGAACAAGGTTATGATTTGGATACTTACGTAATGTCGATGGGTTAAACATGGACGGGGAATTAGAATTTCTACTTTTATTTTTTTTTTTTATTTTTTTTTTTTTTTCAAATAGTAAGGTGAAACTACTTAATTTTAAGTCTGAATATGTGCCACATTTCTTTCTAAACCAGCTTAATTATCAGAAAAAAAACACTACAGTGATCAGGCGGTCCATAATTTCAAAACGAAACTAAGGATAAAGTTTATTTTGGTGTCTTTACAGTGCGCCGTGCGTCCGCCAACAACGTCATTGAGGTGTACCGTGATGGCGGTTGGTACCCTATTTGTGCATCAGGCTGGACCAGTCAGTTGACGAGTGACTTGTGTGACATGCTGGGCGAGGGGTGAGTGTCCTAAACTTTATGGCAATGAATATTTTATCAACAGTTACTGTCTCTCATGTAAGGAGGTTTGAAAGCGTCTTTCGAATATCCGTTGTTCACGTCTTTGTCAGCTTAATTTTAACGTTCGTCAAAATTACAGCGGGACAGTAAGTGGGCACAGATATTTTTGAAAATGGTTTTATTTGATTTTTTTTCCTTTCTAAGTTTGCTTGGATGATTTATCTGTTGTTTTAGACATTTGCAGCTAGAGTACGATAAACACAATTAATATTTAAGGGTAAAAATGGTATCCTTTATCGTATCATATCATATCATATCTTATCTCCATAACAAAACACATGAAAATACACATCAGTAATACAATAGCCTACAATACGATTCTATGCAATCCAAGATTACAATACATTTATATTACCACATTCCACTTTTTTATCTACTGAATATTTGTTTTCACTTTCAAAGTGATTTGGAGCAGGATCAGCGTCCCGCTGTGAATTCTGCGTCATACCTCAGCGTTGGACGAGTCACGGGATCTCTTCTGGGAGCTCTCTCCATGAGGTAACCACAGAACATCTGTACGGGCCATAGGTGGCGTAGTGTAGAAGACGAGCTTTTTTATATAGATACATGCCTTTCATCTGTCATTTGTTAATCACAAAGCAATATCTGTAAAATACGTGATGTTGATAGTTTCCGTTTATTTTGTTATGGTTCATCTCTGCACTGCTGGTATTTGAGACTATAAGCAGCGACCTTTCATGCAGCTTTCATATATGAGTTAATTCTCTGGTAATCCTTTTCGTGGGGACATGTACAAAAAAGGTTTCTATACCATCAGAACCTTTTTTTTCCATCCTGTGTGCTTCAAGGAATTATTTTTCTTTGTTTTTGAAGAGGTGATGATGAGGAAAGGTAGCCTTTTCTCTTTTGATCTTTGAAAAGATATCGACGGTGTTTTATTGTGGTCTTGTATCACGTATGATGCAGACATTTTTATTTCTCGCATGGAGTTGTGAGATGTCAGGGTTGACAAACATTTTCTTATTTTCAGTTCTCAGTGTTCCAATAACCGCGTCGTAGGAGCCGTATGCAAGGCAAAGAGTAAGTTCTTATAATTTGCGTCTCCTGTCATAAAGAATAAACACCTTACAACATAAATATTAAAAGTTAGTACTAAATCAATCATCTAAGTAAATAATGTTTTACCAAATGAAAAAATGTGAAGTACGATACATGTTACTCCGAAGATCTTTGTGTGTGTGTGTGTGTGTGTGTGTGTGTGTGTGTGTAAGACGAAGGAGGACACACCCATCACGGGAAACTTTTGTTAGGTCTCTGCCTACTTTACGGAGACACACCTTCCCATTTAGACGTGCTGTAACACCATGAATCATACACTTTCAGCCTGCGGACGGCCCACTATCGGTCAGCTGGCTCCGATGATCATCCACGGGGACGATGCCCCGGACGGACGGTGGCCGTGGATGGTGTCCTTGCTGGCCAATGACGTGCATAAGTGTGGGGCCACGCTTATCAATAGGCAGTGGGTGGTCACGGCGGCACATTGTGTCTGGTAAGAATAAAATGGCCACTGGTAAAGCAGGGTAAAGAAGGATTCAATGTTCGGTTATGCTAAGGGAGGGAGATTACTGAAAACGTGCATAAGTCATCGAATGAGACCTCTCTAAGTTTATAGTTGTACACACCAAAACATACAGAATTAAAATGCCGTTTCAAACATGCCTAAGAATGCATAGGCCCACCATATGAAATCGACCTTCTTTATATTTCTATTTATTTGCTATTCACTTAAAGTGATAATAACTCTTCGTTTCGGCCAAAAAATGAATTTTCCTGGAGTAAACAACAATTTTCCCATACTTACCAATGGTTAATGAATCCATTTTTACATTCAAAGTTAGTCCCTGGTTTTTTTCTAAAAAGTTTGGTTTTTTGTTAAAATCTCTTAAGAGATTTTAACAGAGCATAGCCATCAATGGAGGTCACGTGGTCTAAAGACAAGCTCAGATATCAGAATAATAGCTATAACAGCCGTTTTTGTGGGAAAACAGAATATAGTATATTTTTATGAGTCACTCACAATGTTTTTATTGTGAAATACAGATTTCATACGAAGAGTTATTATCCCTTTAAGTTCGAAGTCAATAACTAATAAAAGTGTGTGTGCGCGCTCCGTTAACTGCTTTTCTTTTCTTTATTAAGGGATTTTGCAAGCAACTTGTATCGTCTGAAAATTGTCCTGGGCACCACGCGGCCTGGGGAACAGTCAGCGTCCAAAGTGCAAATGAGGGTGAGAACAGCAGTCATCCACCCCGACTACGACACCAGGAACCCTTACAAAGGGAACGACATCGCTCTGCTGCAGTTATTGGAACCTGTCAACTACACAGCGTATATCCAGCCAATATGTCTGCCCAAATCTCGCGAGAGCGGGAGTACGTATCCCGTGACGTCACGGTGCTACACGACCGGCTGGGGTTTTACTGATAGTGACCTGCAGACGGAGCCAGTAGTCTTGCAAGAGGCGAAGATGAAGGTGTGGAGCCCCGCTGTGTGTAATAGTAGCAGTGGACACAACGGGATTATCCGAGATTCCATGGTCTGTGCCGGATACTACTCCGGATACATATCCGTTTGTCAGGTATGTCCTTGTTTTACAGTCAGGTCATAATTTTATATTATACAAAGAAAAATAAACCGAAATGCCAAATGCACAAAAATGTGTGATGTGAGAAAACACATTATTAAGAATGGAAAGTTTATCATCCATCTGAAATTTCTTAGTCACCAAAGGACATTTTTTTTTATTTTGAAATCTATATTCATAATGAATCCTCACTGCATATTATGTATTGAGCCTTCTTTTGCTGGTTTGATAATGCGATGAGACTCGTTTTTATTTATTTATTTATTTATTTATTTATTTATTTATTTATTTCGTACACAGAAAGACAGCGGGGGACCCTTGGTGTGCAGAGACGAGTTTGACAGATGGAAGTTGATCGGTGTCACCAGTTTTGTAGCTCAAGGCTGTGACGTCCCCAGGAACCCAGGGATCTTCACCAAGGTGGCAGATTTCGTCGACTGGATGCATCCGTATATATGTAAGTATAAGTCGAGTGTGCAAGTGTTTAATTTTGTTGATACAGTTAAATCATACAGCATACGCTTGAGGGATCGATTTCTCAATTTAGGCCTCTTACACAACGTGCATTACGCTTAACTGTATCGAAATGCTCAGGGAGATTGGAAAATTATCAGCCTGGATAAAACCTGGGTAGTCATCACAACAGAGCCAAAAAATTACACTGGTCAAAACATTTGGAAAGGATCTTCTTATGATGAAATCATTAACAGTCCAATCTCTATACTAAGTAAAAGCGTATCTGGAATAGCTTTCGTCCCAACAGTTAGGACTTCATCACTCACGTTGAAGTCAGTGAACAGTGTATAATTTCATCATAATGAGTAGCTTTTCTCCAAGATCACTTTCTATCAGAATAGTGGAAAGTAATATGAGTTTTGATTTTCTTTTCTTTCAGCTCCCAACTGTGGTCCCAGTCAGTTCCAGTGTCCAGTGTCAGGTCAGTTGCAGTGTCTTGACCTTGACCGGCGATGTGACATTCTCCATGACTGCGACGACTACAGCGACGAGCTAGGCTGCGGTGAGTAGAGTTCTATCTTGTCCCCATTTTCTTCAATTTTGTTAACATTCTTTCTGCTTAAAATGTCCCTTTTACTCCTCTCCCCAATACTACATTGTAGACCATGTGGTTTGCTTTATTTTCTCTTGGCATGATTTTTTTCCTTCTAAATTTCTTCATATTCATATTTTTCTTTGAACTTTTTTTAAATAACCTTTATGCTCTGTGAGTTCAATTCATGTCATATTATGTCTAAGTTTTCCTCTTCTGCTGTTGTTCTTGTTGATCACATCATTTACACACGAAAATATTTGTCGTCACAGATTTCTTGCCCTCGTGTATTTCAAAATGAATAAATCCGTGTTCTTTACTTACAGTCTGTGAACCTAACGAGTTTTCCTGCCCCAATGACGGTTTGTGCTGGCCGTCTCTGTACAAATGTAACGGGAGTCCGGAATGCGTGGACGGCTGGGACGAAAGTCCGGAAGCCGGATGCAGTAAGTATTCTTGTATTTTCTCGCCTTTTCACGCTCCGCCGTGCATTGTCTTACATGCTTCAGCTCTCACTCTAGGCCAATTTCTGGTTTTATTTTTACGAAATCAGTTTAGTGATCCATACAATCTTCTGTTTTTTGTCATTTGCTTGTGATCAAAATGTTAACATGCTCAAATTTGAAGACACAATGTTGGTCGGAATTATCTATAATTTTTTTAAATTAATTTGTGCATTTCAATGATTTGAAAGCAATGTCTTTCTGTTCAGTACAGTACAGTACATGTGTGTATCTGTTTGGATCAAGGCTCTATTAGATGGCATATGCATAAAGTGCATTGGGTTTTTATTACGCGATACTATAACCACATATAAGCATGGCGATGCTATAGCCAAACCGAAGATGAATGCCAGAAGTCTTAATTAAAAATGCAACAGAAAGCTCAATTAAAAACAGCATGAAGCATTTTCAGCTAATAAATAGCAATGGTTTTATAAACAGATGTACATGCACCTCCTTGTTTGAAACCTTTCACAAAAACGACTTACCATTTACTCTGCATGAACATGCATATAGTTCCATGTAAAAGACGTCCAATATAAAAATGATATTATATTAGCGCCAGTGAGTTTTATACTTTTTATGCTACCTCTACATACTACACAACTGACCCCCACCCCCCCCACCCCTGGTCCCACGATCTTTTTTATTTTTTCTCACCTTACGTCTGGCTATTAGTATGAATTCCTGTGTTTTCACCATTAGTCTGTCTACAAGTAGATATATCGGTTTGACCAGGCATGGTAATTATGTATCAAGTTTGGTCCATTCTTTATATGTATCATAGCAGGTCTAACTTTTAAGCAAAATGCCCCTTAGATACGCAGCATAGCCTTTTATTGTATTACTTTGGATAGTTAATGTAGTGTGGTGCATGTTTCTTAGACATTACGATCTGCTTTTCCATTTCAATGAGCTTATCTGGTAGGAAATGCAACTGGAATGTTTCCGATTTGAATTTCTAAAGCCACGTCTCTCTAGGCTTTTATCTTTAGCTCTATCTGGCATGGGAAGCAAAGTCGCTTTAAAGTCTGAATATTTCCCGCCGCTTGCTGCTCAGTCTGCGTGATGCCCTCCAACAGTTGCTATCGTCTGCTATATTTTAGCTATCGTCTGCTTTCTTTGCTAGTATATTCTATTGTTGCGTGTGCCTCGTGGCTGCTTGGCTGCAAAAAAAAAGTAACCAATCTCGGTATCTCTTTCCAGACTGAAAGACGCTGGAAAGGACCCGACAGGTGGCGTTGGTCTTCGTGTTGTGTGCCTCTATTCTTCAGACTAATTCCGCTGGGTGTCCTGATAGCTTTCACCGGGGTGTCCTGCTTACCTTGTTGGTGATATGGACAGTTAATGTCGCAAGACGCTAACTGTTTAGTTTGGATTGAGGACGGTGTTAAAAAAGACTATGTCCTGAATGCTGGACATTATCCAAACGGCTGTGTTTGTTACATTGACGTCCGTCGTATCGATTCCTTTGCTTTGCCAAAAGAACAGTGCAAATTATTCCAGTGAAGTCAATTTGACTGTGATACGTTACTGTCATGTTAGAGACATTCCGTATGATTGCCATAATACAATGAGTTATCTACTGCATGACTGCAGTGATTATTACTTGTGAATTTGATCATTTATAGTCCATTAACAGCTGAGCAGAGCTATTGTGAAGGATTTCTCATTCAGACAGGTGATGATATTGACTATCGGATCTAGCTTCGCGAGCATAATTGACCCTATAATATATTTTGTGGACTTTAAGAGATACACGCCAATACAAATGTAAATATAAGCATCATCATACAATAAAGGTCTATTTTACTGCATACAAGTAGTCAAGGTCACCGGAGCCAGTGTTGCTTCACGAAAAAAAAAAAAAAAGAAATCAAATAATACAATGTATGTCCTTTATAAGGTACACGCCAGTACAAATGGAAATTTAGGTGAATTGTTTTATTTCATTACATCGTGTCTGCCAATTACAAAAGTATACGAGACCTGTTTATGTGCTAGGTATAGACACAGTTTAGGTCACCAGTGCCATTTCCTCCCTCTTTTAGGGCGCATTTCTTATATCAGCACTTTGGTCATTTGAATCATGGGATAGCTTTCAGTTTTCGCTTATAGATATTACTGGCACATACTGTGCAAAAGAACATATTATTCAATTCACGTTGCCATTTTAACTGCCATAAATGCCATTATCTGTACATATACGTAGTCATATTGTACTAGTTTGTATTGTTATATGGATGTTTAATACTTTGAATGCTACCTCTAGAATGGTGTTGAAATTTACCGATTACACAAACACACACAAACACACATGTACACTAAAAAAGAAAGAGAGAGGGAAGATAGACAGATTTACAGAGGGTCTGAGAGATGTGAAGTGTTGAGGAAACAGGAAATGTACTGTAATTATAGTTGTTATTATAAGATCATTAAAAAAATAAATATAGACAGAAGAAATATAATTAAGATATTACGTGTACGTTGTTTTGTTTATAGTATAGAAAAACGGATTCGTTTTTAAATACTTGTGTAGGCTTTCTAAATATGAACTCGAGGAGTAGTATGAAAAGGATACAATATGAATTATATTTGCTAACTGATATCTTAGGAAGAAAATGTCGATGATTATAGTCATTTTGTGTAAGAAAAATTATCTTTGTAATGATAAGGGGTATACTTATTGAAATTAAGGACAAATAAATGTTAAAGTTGATTCTGTTTCAGTACAGCATTAGGTCTTTACCATAGTAAATATGATGGATTTCCATATTATTTTTCTAACTTGAAAATAAAACAATACTACAGAAACGACGAAGGTTCCATTGTGTTTAACGACCGTGCATTGTTTGCTAGGGGAAACGGGATAATCGAAGTATGATGCTAATTTCGTCTAAGCAAAATCTTTTTCTGCGTCTTTCCATTTTCGCTGTGTACTTTTCTTGTTGGACGCCGTTGGATCAGTGTTATTTGTCCTAGGTGTTGTTGAACATTATTCGCTCGCAGGTGCGGTGAACTTAATGTCTACAATTCCACATATGCTTAAAGAAACTAAAAATTTCACGTTTTAAATTCTTGAGATTCTGAAATATTTTAAATATTTAAACACTGTATATGCCTTCTCTAAATGCCTATTCTTTTCAACATTATAGGGAGTAATTTTTTACTATAAATGTTCTCTCCTTTGAATACACAACATACGTTACATATTTAGTGAAACAATTTACAACCTCTGAGATAAAAATGCTTATAAGCGAATTCCGAGAATCAATAGTCTAAAGCTTGAAACAACTGTTGAGTGTTCGTTTTTAAGTATAAAAAACATGGTTTGTTTCATTTATTTACTATATTTTACTTTAATATCTGACACTTCATTAATTGGAGCCCTACGTATTCCTTCCTTCCTCCATTTATCTATCTATTTGTCTACATCTATCTATCTATCTATCTGTTCAGCTATCTGACTACCTGTCTGTCTGTCATATACAGTTCTTAAATATTTTTTTATGAATTTCAGTCTGTGAGTTCCAGTGCGGCAATGGCAAGTGTATCAAGAACACCAGTCGCTGTGATAACCTGGGAGACTGTACTGATTACACCGACGAGCTGGGGTGTGGTAAGTATTCTTCAGGGGAGGGGGGAGGGGGATGGGAGTCTTCAGGTCAATACCCCCGCCCCTTGCTAACACAAAATGGCGGGACCCTCCCTCCCCAGTTCCTAAAATGAGAGCAAACATTTGCATATACGGCCAACAGAGCTCCACAACGTATTTCAAAATCAATTCATCTGCGAAGATGCCGCAGTATTTCATATGGCAAATTTAGGTCAAAGTCTGTTTAAGCGTCAGAAAAAAAGAAAACTTTTAACATTATACAGAGAGTTATGAAGACGTGAATTGTAAATTTTCAAAAAAAAAAAAGAAAATAAAATGACATATGCTCATTGATACTTCAACGTTATAAACATACTCACTAACATTTCCAGAATGTTTCACCGATGAGATCCAGTGTCCAAATACCGGTCTCTGTATACCTCCCTCGCTCCGGTGTGACGGCTATAACGACTGCGGTGACAACTGGGACGAGAAAGGGTGCGACCTCTGCCGGAACAACAATGGCGGCTGTAGCCACTTCTGCGCAACTGTGAACGATACCAAGGTTTGCTCCTGTCCTGCGGGATATAATCTGCTACCAGATGGCGTTACTTGTGCAGTGTGTAAGTAGATTATGGTGAAATACTCTGGTCATTTGTTTCTTTTTCTTCTTTTCTTTCAATCATTTTTCTTTCTTTCTTCGTTGGATTTATCTATTTGTTTATTTTTGTGTTTATTTATTTATTATTTATTTATGTATTTGAATTTAATAAAATGTATACTATGTCGAAACACGTAGTTTTTGTCTTATTTACTTCATTTTTCTCATGTATGTATGCCTGTTCCAGCCTGTCCGTCCGACCACTCCCAGTGTTCAGACGGCAGCTGCATCCGGGTATCTCAGATTTGTGATGGTTCTAATGATTGCTTCGACGGCCAAGACGAGAGCAACTGTGACCCATGTCGGGAAAACAACGGCAACTGTAGTCACACGTGTGTCGCTTTGAATGTCACCCACAGGCAATGTCTCTGCCCGCGCGGTTATAGTACCTTGCCGGACGAAAGGACGTGTGCGAAGGGTAAGTTTTCAGGGCAACTCTACAGAAGCCTTGTGCCACTGAAATAACGGAAATAAGTAGGCCTATATTCCCAGGTAGAAATATGCACCATTTTTTGTTGATACATTTCTTTCCTTTTCTGAATGAAGCTAATCTCAATTATAGGTTGTACCCTTTCACGCCTTTTCATCATGTTACAAATCGAAAAGAACTTGCACGTGCTACTGTAAATGTAACGTCAGTATTTCACGTGACGTCGTTGCCGTTAAATGGTACTTTCAGAGTGCGCTAGAGGTGAATTCAGATGTGACGATGGCAGATGTCGTATTGTTGACTTCTGGTGTAATGGCTACCACGAGTGCCCGGACAGCAGCGATGAAAAACCCGGATGTGGTAAGTACGGTTTGTCTCAAAGAAAGAAAATATTATAAGAGAACGAAGTTTACTTACACTATTGGAATTTCAGTGCACTTGCACTGTGTCAGTTGATTGGAAGAAAGTCAATTCAGATATATTAAAATTCTGTTTATTAATCAACTAAGAGGGAGGGGGGTGGAGGATGCCACGAGGTATCAGATATTTCATTTGTAACTGCAAATAATTTTTGTTTAAGTATGTTTTGAGTTATATAAAATATATTATTATCCTAGAGAGCCATCCAGTTCAGTTTAGGTACAGTAATATCCAGTGTATAATGTAAAGTGAAATAAATTGTTATATTATAGGACTATATATTATTATATATTATTATTCCAGAGTGTCGTCCAGACCAGTTTCGGTGCAGTAACGGCCAGTGTATTATGCAGCACAAGGTGTGTGACAGGATATTTGACTGTCCGGGCGGAGAAGACGAACCAGCAAACTGCAGTAAGTTCTCTTCTCTTATCCTCTCTCTCTCTCTCTCTCTTTCTCTCTCTTTCTCTCTCAAACTAAAACGTGACAAAAAAAGCGTAACGTAAAATTCACGAGGACCCAGAAAGAATTCACATTTACTACACACTTTCCTCCCATGATTTTGGTATCGTTCAGATGGACCCCACTTGTTCATTACAAATGGCATTTGTAAAACGTTACAAATTTAATTACAGCTTTCTGTGATAATCAGTGGGGATTCAAGTGTAAACCGTCCGGCGTGTGTCTCAGCTTTTACAGAACTTGCGACTTCAGGAACGACTGTGAGGATTTCTCAGACGAAGCCAACTGCAGTAAGTAGTGAAGATCACAGTTCTGTTCTAGCGTCCAGTTTTGGTTTATTCCCTTTTTTATATCGTATTCCGCTTTCTGTTGCCGATATCATTCAGCCTTCCCCCCTCAAATGATGTACAATCCTTTTCCCATCGTTTTGTACTGAGAAGTCCCGTCTTAGATCTAAACCCTGTCAGGCAACCCAACCCTAAGCTCTCTCCTCTTCAGATGTGCAGTCTCTAGGCTACACGGACCCTCCATTTCTTGACACCGGTTTCACGCGTTCTTTTTAACATTAATGTACGTGAATTTGGTTGAAACCACAAAACAGGTGTATCTCATTGTAATATATATCTGATAATGTTTTACATTGGTTTAGTGAAAGCCTAGAACCAGGTGTAGAGAATTCTCATATGATTACAGACATATGTAAAAGACGTATATGCCCGCCTCCCTCTGTGAATAATGTGAACGAATATTCATCTTTTTAGCGTTTGGCCTAGAGACATTTGCCTTTATATAAATCTTTTAATATGTTGCAGAAACTTGTTTAAGACGTGCACCCCTTTAATATAAATAAAGTGAATGAATATTTCTCTTTGTAGCGTGTGGCCCCGGGACCTTTGCCTGTAGCAGCGGACATTGTGTTAGGAACACGTCATTCTGTGATGGCCAGCCTGACTGCCCGGATGCTAGTGATGAACCTATCCACTGTGCCGCAGGTAAAAAAATCGTCCTCTGTATTATTTGTTTTATATATCAATTTATCGTCATTTTTAAAACTTATTTGAAATCAAAAATGTATTTAAATCTGTTGGTATGGCCAAGTTTGTAAAACTTATCGTTGTCGAAAAGACAAAATAAAAATAGTGCCGCGAGCCGGGATTGAACCAGCGACCTTCAGATCTCTGGACGACCTTGTGCTCCACAAGCCGGCTTCAGTCTGACGCTCTCCCAACTGAGCTATCGCGGCTTTCATGCAAATTGGCAGAGGAAAATTTCGCCGCTGATATAAGTTGATATAATTATGAATAATTAGCTTAATGATGGGAGATAAAATGGTAATATGCGCGCATTTGAAAATGCCCGAATCATAACTAATTGTTACTAATGACTTATAATAGTTATATATCAAACTATACCTTAAGAAAAATGTGGCAATCTTCAAAAAATAAATAAATAAAACAAAGTAAAACAAAATGTAATAAAATTAAAAAATGGTGCCGCGAGCCGGGATTGAACCAGCGACCTTCAGATCTCTGGACGATCTTGTGCTCCACAAGCCGGCTTCAGTCTGACGCTCTCCCAACTGAGCTATCGCGGCTTTCTTGTCGTTTTGAAAGTGGATTGTTTGGCCGCTGATATAAAGTGATATTATTAGGAATAATTGGCTTACTGATGGAAGATAAAATGGTAATTTGTGCGCATTTGAAGATGCCCCAGAGTCACGCTAAATGTTACTGATGACTTAATCATTAAACTAGAATGAAATTTACAAAGGATAAATTGAGAAAAAAGGTGACAATCTTCAGATAAAAAAAATAAATAAAACAAAATAAAAATAAATTTAAAAAGTGATGCCGCGAGCCGGGATTGAACCAGCGACCTTCAGATCTCTGGGCGATCTTGTGCTCCACAAGCCGGCTTCAGTCTGACGCTCTCCCAACTGAGCTATCGCGGCCGATTTTTCTATGAAATCAAAATATTTTGTCTGGCAGAAGCATCAGTTCATATCTAAATCATTGTCTCACTTTTCAGCTTGCAGTCCAGATTTATTCCGCTGCCACAATGGAGAGAAGTGTGTGCCTCAGAACAAGCTTTGTGACGGCCAAAACGACTGCAATGACTACTCCGATGAGACTGTTTGTAGTAAGTATACAGACATCTAACACGTTATAGCATAGAAAATAAACAATTAGAGTTATAATAAATAATGTATGTTAGAGCATTATTATACAAATTATGTACTGTATATTCAGACTTGGACGAATTCGGCCAAGATTTAATTGCAGATCAAGCTTAAAACCACCATTTGTCTCAAATTTTGATTTAATCAATGGAAATAGTTATATATCATACTACGTTTTTTTTTATTCCAGACTGTACCACAGGTCAGTTTAAATGTGCCACTGGACAGTGCATATCCCTGGCACTAACGTGTAACGGCTTTGACAACTGCGGAGACCAAAGTGACGAGAAACGATGTAGTAAGTGAAGTTTTTATCTCGTATATCTGGTCTCTAATTTCCTCATTTTATGTTTTGACATATCATAATTGTGTGGCGTGCGCAATGTAGGAAGTAGATTGCACCAGATTGCAATAGCCTACTTAAATATTAGCATTAAAACTGTGTGGTATGACCATAAGCAGTGTTTTTCAATATTTTTGGGGAAATCTAGTATGAGTGAAGAAAACTGAAGTCAGTCATTTTATGCAAATACAATAAGGATTTATGACGGTGTAAAAGAAAAAGAAACAAACGTATCGCAGAACGGAATATGATCATATGAAATTAGCTTTAGATATATACAAAAGATAAGATCTAAAACGCATGTGTGTGTATATATATATATATATATATATATATATATATATATATATATATATATTTATGTTGATCTAGTAAAGTAACACAAACAACGCATTCTGCTTTTTTTCTTAAATTAACTTTTCCAGGTTGCCAATCTGATCAGTTTCGCTGCGCAAATGGGATCTGCCTGTCACGTGACAAGTTGTGTAATGGCTTCGACGAGTGTACGGACAATTCGGACGAACAAAGATGTCGTAAGTGTCTTGTGGTATCACTCCGTGTGTTTCTGGTGATAATTTAAGTTGTTATTTTAATACGTTTCTGTAATTACAAGTTTTTTTTACATTTCAAAAATGTAAAGAATTATTTTATATATGTCCTAAGCTTTTGTAATATTTTATCAACACTAAATGTAAATGTAAATGTAAATGTTTTAGTTCAATTTATGCATGCTTCATCTCACCATACACGCATCAGACATTAGCACATGCATGAAAGCATACACGTGTACGCACAAGCTAAAAAATATTAGCGAATTGAGGAATCAAACGTGATCGGATCATACATGTAAAATTAACATATTATTAATTATTTTTATATATATGTAAACTATTAGCTGCTTTTACCATGAAAACGACTATTTCAGTCTAAAATGTACTATTCGTGATGCTTCATTTTAAAAGTTTATTCCTTCTCTCTCCAACCAGCTTGTCGTACCGGGGAGTACAGGTGCGCAGACGGTTCCTGTATCATGAACGAGTGGCTGTGTGACGGCAAGGACGACTGCCCCGGAGGACAGGACGAACTAGGATGCTGTGAGATATTATAATTATTATTATTATTATTATTATTACTATTATGAAATTTCATTTTTCGTATGGATGGTATTTTTTCGCAACGGTTATTCGTCATGCCAATAGATTTTAAAACGGTAAAAACCAAAATATGTTAGTACACTTAATCGTGTGTTGTCAAAATTCCTATTTGAAAAAAATGATATCAGTTACGTAAAAGGTGACTTCAAGAGCAACACCTTAAGTGTGCATATACTGTGCTCATATTTTCAATTATTCAATTATTTCATATATTCAATTATTTAGTTGACAAAAGGACTGCAGCTTTAGATTATATACAGCTACAGTGCAAGAATTTTTCTCTTCGTTTAACAAATAATAATAATAATAACAAGCTGTTCATGTTTTCCTACCCTCAGATGTGTGTAATCCGGGGGAGTTCTCGTGCTCTAACAGGGTATGTGTCTCTGGCGCCCTGCAGTGTAACGGGGTTGACGACTGTGGTGACATGTCTGACGAGGACGGCTGTGGTAAGGAGACATATACAATTATTCATATTTAACTAAATACCACCCCAAGTGGCGTATTTGTTAAGTGATAGTGATGATGATAACATTCAAGATACACTGTCCTAGTCATTCTCTTCTTGTTTTGACGGCTGTGGTAGATTATCCAATTCAAGTGTGATATTTGGCATATTGCGAAGTCAGAAAAGTTTGGAGCGGAGTGCAAAGTTGCTAAATGGATTCAGCCAATAAAGAGACGGGTAAAATAAAGAGCAATTTTTTTAAAATGTTTGAGAGTCAGCGTGTGTTCAATTTGATATGATATAGAAAATGCATGAAGTAAAGGCGGATTGCCGTCCCCATTATTTACTCATACTGTTTTTTTTTTAATTAAATCGATGAACACTCCGAATGTAGCACAGTGTTTAGCGGCTGCCAACTATTATTTCTCTTTTCATGTTTGATGAATATTATTCTAATACTGTTTCTGTTTTAGCTCGTATTTCTTCCAATGACCTTGAACTGATGATGAACGCGTCTTGGTACCCGGTCTGTGCTGCCACCTGGAACACGACCTGGAGTGACACTGTTTGTCGCCAAAATGGCTTCAAGTGAGTACAAAGAGGGACCATAACGCTACTCCCACAAAACGCCGTTGAAATAGTAACAAACGTTTTACAGTACTTAAATGCATTCCCGTATAGTTTTTTTTAAATATATATATATATATAATCTTTTTTCTTTTTAAAATCTGCTTGAAATGATTCATGCTCGACACTTGTTGTGACAAATGGAGAGATGCATTTTATTATTCCCTTTGCATATGTTTTGTATATAAATTGCCTGTATTATTTATTCTTATCATCTTTACTTTTTCATATTTGTCCTTATTATTATTATTTTCATTCGTTAATCTGTTTATTTATATTTTAATCGCAAAATATCTTTCCAATTAGACAATAGACAAAGTAAAACTGCTTGGTTATTTATCTACTTACTATAGAGGATCCTTTCCCTTTTCAAAATTCAAAATGAGGACGAAAGTTGTCCTTTTGTGGTCTTTTCGTATTATTTTTTGAGGTTAAGAATCAAAGTCGTTTTTTTATATTATCACAGGTCAGTGAACACGTCTACGGCCACCACAGTAAGCGGGGCGACCTCATTTTACCATGTACAAGGCTTGGATAACAGCATGGTTTTCCAGGGAGATGTGAGGTAATTATATTAAATATGAATTGATATTACCTGGAATCACACTTTGACAGTGAATTACGTATTTAATTCGACACGACAGTCTTAAAGGATAACTAATGATTGACTGAATTTTTACTTTATGTTGATTTCGTTTACTTGTTTGCCCACTGTTATAGGGATAGGTAAGTATGGTATGGTTACATGAAATTACGTATGATAAAAAATAAAGACATCTTGTAAATTGTAAAAATTATTTATGTACATTCTGGCGTCTCTTATCATTAACCTATTACTATTTATTTCCGTCTAGTGCCACGTGCCCAAACAACAGCGCGGTGTCTCTGACATGCGTAGAAAAAGGTAAGAAATGCAGCATTGCACTTACGTAACATTGTTATTACGTATCCAGCTCAAGCTACTAGTTTACTCAATAAGAAGTGTTTTCAGATATATTGCACCTGTCCCCTCGTTTGTTGAGAATAGTTGTTGTGAAAGAGGATACACTATGTTACCAGTCGCTTTAAAGATATATCAAACTACAAACCTAGTCATTGAGCATGTATTTTTTTCCATGCAGGTATTTTTGCCACGTACATCTTATGCTTAATGATACTTTAAGAAAAACGTTATTTTCCTTTTTGATTTACAGATTGCGGTGAGCGAGTAAGGTCATCACTGTCGACGTTCGTGGTTGGAGGAAATTACGTCCAGGATGGCACGTGGCCTTGGATGGCAGCCATTCACTATCTAGGCTATCATCACTGCGGAGCTGCCATCATAAGTAACCAATGGCTGCTGTCGGCTGCCCATTGTTTTGACTTGTAAGTGAGATTGGAAATTATTCATGGGCATAGAATGATGTCATACGGATAGATAATTCATGGAATGGGCATATATTATTAATAGAATAACAATACAATACAATACAATAAAAGTAGCAACACAAAAAGTTTAACGATATGAAGCTTATAGTCCAGACATTTTTTAAATGTTTTATTAACAAAAAATAATAAACGCCATTCCTATTTAAAGTACGGTGATTTGTTGACTTACTCTGACAAATTCAAGTAAAGTGAAAATATTTCCAGAAACATCGTTATGACAGCAAAGTATAACCTCATGAGACACTACAGGGACGAAGGGCACTTTGAAAGCGTCCTGTGATATATATATCTTTAAATTGAGGCAACATGGGTAACTTTGAGTGCATATCACAGTTACTAAAATAAACTTTCCACTTTGCCTTCCAGGTTGAAGCACAAGGCACCTTACAAGTTTGAAATCATCATTGGAACCGTCAACCGTCTTCAGCCGGGGGCGGGGGCAATCCGCGTGCGACCCGAACGCATCATCGTCCATCCAGAGGGGAAATTCGACACGCAGTTCAATTCCAATTACTCTTATGACATTGCCCTTGTGAAGCTACCCTATCGGCTCAACTTCACGGATAACATCCGGGCTGGGTGCGTACCGGATGCAGTTTATACGCCATTGCCCAAACACTGTTTCATTGCCGGATGGGGGAATACGGATGCTGACCACAATTGTGAGTACTGAATATTATTTTTATCACTGAATTATTAGAGTGCAATTTTGGATTAGATAATGGATTTTTAATGTCCAATTGACTAAACATAGGCTATATATAACGTCTAACATGAGTACTATATACACACATTCAATTTCGAAAAAACGAAAAAGTTGCAATTAATTTTCTTTAAAGGCCTGGCTTTTTTAACATAAAAAGAGCGTATTTTAGCTAGTTGCATAGGTAACTGCTTTTCGAAAATTCGTTTCTAAAGTTCAAAATGTCCATTCCAGCGTATCCGCAGACAGTGTTGAAAGAGGCGAAGATGACACCAGTCAACGAAGCCACCTGCAAAGCCTCCAATTTGAATCTTCTCAGAAATTACGACTTTGACCGAGTGTTCTGCGCCGGATACGGAAATGGCTATATTATGGGATGTGGGGTAAGATTGTTTGACCCTTGTTCGCTACAGATTGCCGTTAAGGTCACTAAAGGTGCAATTCATTGAATTGTAGGCTTGCAGTTCATCCATACTTAATGAACAGTGATTGATTTTTATGCATGTTTTTGACAACAATAGAAACAATCGAATGGGTCTTACTCATTCTCTCTCACACACACACACACACACATTTTCTCTCACTGTCTGTCCCTGTTTGCGTATTTGTGTCTCACTGTCAAATTATCGACGATTAACTACATTTATTTATTTATTTATTTATTTATTTATTTATTTATTTATTATATATTCATTATCTATTTAATTGTTCCAGGGTGATAGCGGCAGTCCTTTGATGTGCCAGGACAAGTTCGGCAGGTGGAACATTCAAGGTGTTCTCAGTTTTGGGGGTTCCGGCTGCAACCGAGACGGGAACTTTCTCTACAATGTTTTCTCCAGGGTGACCCATTTCACGGACTGGATCAACGGGGTTATAGGATCTGAATAAAACTTACTTCATGCAAGGCAGTGACAGACACTTACAGTGGTATTTAAAGAAGATGCTCCCAAAATGTCACCAAGCGAAAGATTGTTGAAGAATTCTGTTAAGAATATTTATTTATTGTCAAGTGTCATGGGCGGGCACTGATTTTTATTTATTTATTTATTTATTTATTTATTTTTATTTATTTTTTTTTTTTTTTTTTGGAATGTTTTAAGATTAAGACCATTTCATGATCACTGCTGTATCAATTGCTATTCAGCACTGAATATTATCGGAAATTCCGTACAAAGGGCGAAAAGAAAAATGATGTGTTATTTTGAATTTTATTTTATATTGATGTACGCAAATGGCACTTGGTATTTTTTTTATAAAACTGAGCTCAAGTCCAATCGGTGCTGCCTCATAAGAACATCCAAATATGGAAATTGTGTTTATAAGTAATCGCTTCAGCATAATCATCAATGAGATTTTCGAAAATTTCTTTTAACTTACTGACATCAATGAAGCACTTCACGTGTGTTTCACAAATTTGCATAATGATTTATTATTACATGCCTAGCATCTTAAAAGTTAATGTTGTTAAAATATGTTGTAAAAGTAAACAGGTTACTTAATGATTTTAGAATTAATGATAGCCAGCACTGTGGCTTTAGTAGGTATAGGAATATTTAAGAGTACATAGTATTTTATTGCACTTAAAGGGTGTGCACGAATGTAACCATTTAAACACCAAACCAAATGCATTTTTCACATTTCTATGTTTTATATTGAAATTCATATTAGGACGCGTTTAGTTTTACCATCACTTTCACTTGTATTTGTTTGCCATCGTCCGAAATATCTCTACACATATCTCTAGCATATATCGTTATAATTTACTTTAGTTTTTATATGTCCATGTTATGCTTTAATGTTTTATGGGAACAAGGGATTTTTTTGTTTATTATGTATCTTCTTTACCTATATATTTATATATACACACACACATATATACATATGGGATAATGTTTTATGAAGTCTGTAACATATGTATTTATATGAATTTTATTACTTTGCACTTTCATATATTTTACTACATTTGACATGTATAATGTAAGTAACATTTCACTATTTAAAACAGCCTGAAAAAGCAAAACGTTTATCACACCAAGATGTTGACATCCAGCGTATGGCGCTATACCCGTCCAACGTGATGGTGTGGGGTGATGCCTATCCACTCGAACAGCTGAATGAACATAGTATTCAATATTCATTTGTTATCCAGATGTTATATATATAACACGTGACAGTCGTGATAGACATCACGTTATTTACATACCTGTATCACATAACATATCAAATATGTTATATGTTACGCGTATATAACATACAGTGTATCACAACTGTTATATACAAACCACATGACATATATCAAAATATCATACCACTGCATGTAAAGTGGTTAATCTAGACATTCTGTACATTCCACCCTGTTTTTATTTTTTTTAAGGAAACATGGAATATCCATTCATGCTAAGATGGTTGTGATTTAAAGATTTCTTGTCAATATATTCGAGTAGTGGTCAGTATAGATAAGTTCGCTGTTATTCTTATGGTCACTTAACTGTGGTCTAATAACAGAAAAGCAAATGACTGCATGTTCGGTTAAATACATTAAGGCTATTTTTATTTGTATTTCAAACAATGGACTCAAACCCACTTACTACTGTTTCGTGTGCATGCGAATATTATCACGAACAGCTTTATTATAAAACATATGAAAAATTACAACGTCCGACATCAATAGCGATTTGCTCAAATCAAAAACATTTTATGACAAGATTTATAGATTGTTTATGTTGTTACGTCACTTAGAAATTTTTATATTATCAAAACTGGAATTAGACATATGCGCATCATAATGGAATTGGCATTATTTTAATCATGTAGAGTTCGCATATAATTTATGTATCTCAGTAAATAAATATGTCTCTCTGCATCTCTGACATGCACGTATGCGTCGTTACTTCATGCATCAAAATATACATATCAAAATGGTAATTGTGTTCTGTTTTTGTTATTAATGCCCTAAATATCACCTTCATAAATAAATAAATACAACAAATCCATATATGTATTTAAAGGGGCAGTTTTAGAAGAGAGACCGATTTGGTTTATGACTTGACATGTCGACTTTATTTCAGTCGTATAAGAAACTAGTAGATGTGGTTTAGTCCACGCTCCCTTGAAATGTTTAAAAGGGCTGTACCAAACGGAACCTGCGTAAATTGTCTCGAGTCGCAAAGTGTGAAAGAAGAATATTAATACTGCGACCTGTAGGCGCCGCCACGGGTTAACACAAACGATATACCCAATAACTAGTCATAAGCATTTATTAAAGCATTTTCAACATTGTTTCATTTTCCAGTTAACGTCAAAATGTTTCTTTTCTTTTGACAATGATAAACATACCGTAGAACCATACACATTTTGGTGCTTTACGCTATAGAATGTCCTTTTCTGTCTTTTCTGGACTTGACGATAGATGGTGCAATAGTATCTTTAAGGCTGATACACCAGATATTTCCCCTTGTACATCTCGCACTCCCCGTTATTGTGATGTGCCCTCTTTTTGACACAGTAACCATGACAACAGCGCTTATGGAAATTGCAGCGATCAAACAGCTCTACGCATGTGCGGTTGCTATGGCGTCTCTTGAAAAGGCTAAGGAGGCTGGAAAATTGGAAAATATCTGAAAACTAATTTTACATTATGCTATCTAACTTACTAACAAAATTGTTACTGATTATGTGGAAAAAAATACTCAGCCATATCAATCAATTAGAAATGCTTTTAGAATTACATTTAGCAAGGTAAAATAATAATAATAATAATAATAATAATAATAATAATAATAATAATAATAATAATAATAATGAACTGATGCACAGTCTTATAATACCTGTTTGATTTTTCCAGACTGGGGCCTGGTCTCGATTCTGTAATTAAAATAATGATTATATTAATATTTTTATAAAGTTAATTTTATCTATTTATTATTATTTATTGTTACGGTCAAACACGTGATTATATGTTGACAAGTGATAATATGTTTTACAATTAATTATATCGTTCAGAATATTATAAGTCGTGGAATAACCTTTTAAAAGGCACAATCACTCAGCAAGTTATATATGCATACATTTGAAGAAGTGCATCTCCCGCTATGATTTAAGTCGAAAAAATAATTATCTATTTCTATAGGAAAAAATAGACAGTAAAATAAAGTATGAGACACGTTACCTTCGTCAGCGAACGCACATGCGCATATGGCAGCCAATACGCAAATAACAAGAACAACTTTAACTCTCATGCTGTGCGACAGATGTTCTTACAATCGATGCAAAATGTGTTTTTGGTCGACCTGGGCAAATAGAATAGACGCAGGGCAGTTGCGTGCCACTTATATAGCAAACGTCAGGTACAGATACTGTTATAACCGGAGATTAGGATTACTAGGATTAGATTACTAGCAAATTATAAGTGATTACGACCGTCATTATCATATAACGAACCGAGTACAAATTATCGGAGCCGACTATAAATCATCTTCTACACACTGTGTCAATATGCAGAAATACAAACTAGTAACAAAGGAGATAAAGCTGCAATCCCGGTCAGAGCACAAGGAGTAAAATTCCCCGAGCAAATGCAGAACTTACAAACGGATAAGGCGTTTACTAGCACTACCTGCAGATCTTTTAGCACTAACACCCATATTAACCACCTTACCCACAAATTATCCACCACTACCAGAGTGGGTGAATGTTAGTGCAAGGTATCGCTTTCTTGGTGCTAAATAATTGTACAGTGTGCCATTTCAGTTAAAGATGCATACAAAGTCAATTTTTTGTCATAAAAACCAACCAAATGCCAGCATATAGTTTCAAGCAGTATAACTAAGAGAATTACCAAAAGGCATTGTTTATTTTTACCCGAAAATGATGTTTGAACGGATTTTTCTGCTGGCATTCTAAGCTGTATGTTAATGGGGCAGGAAAGTAGGTCACGAAAGTAGGTTAAATTTACAACCAGAAATTTAAAAAAAGGAGCAGTCTAAAGGTCTTTTATGGCTGATTGAGTGATCTATTCAGTTTATTCCTTGGCATGTCGAATTTATTTGAGTCATATAAGAATCTAGTAGAAGTGGTTTACATGTGTTACTAGGAATCCGGCCTCCACAGATGCTCGGTTTGTATGTACCTTTAAGGTTGGGCTGCGATTTCAAGTTATGGTTCAATCTGAGAGCGTGTTTCGTTTCTGGCACACGGCACCTCCGGGAGATCAATCCAAGAACCAAGAGAAAGAGCTAAGCTAGCAGTCGTCAGAAGGTGATAGTATAGATCAGTCAGTAGTTCGCTGTTCACGCCTGGTTATATGTGTAGTTTGTAACGATTGATGGGCATGGCAGGTTCAATTCTGATCAATGCAATACTGTCACTGATCAGGCCTTGAATGTTACACTTAATCTTATAAAGGTATAAAATCCGTGATTTTTCAGCCAAATCTTTTCGAAAAAAAATAGCAATTTTTTCCTACTCTGGAATCATTGCTTGGTTTGTCACTGCATTTGGGTCCGGCTGTTTTAGACTTTCAAATTCTATTCATCACCCAACATTCCCCGCCATATGAAGCTACTGAAAAAACTAGAGTTAAGCAGTCTCTGCTTTGTGTTAAGAGAAATGTTTTTGGTTATTCCAGACCTTAGTTTCCTAAGCGTTAAGAAAAAGAGCAACTTTCTCGCTTTTTTTCTCACCCTGTCATCCATTTCTCGAAGTTTGGACATAGAGCTTGCAAAAGGGACTATATCATCGACATATCTCAGGTTTGACAAATTTATTCCTCCGACTTTGACATTTCTTTCGTAATCTTCAAAGCGTTCCTCATAATGAACTCAGAGTTGAGGTTGAAGAGAGAGAGAGGGAGAGAGAGAGAGCAAAAAACAGATACGAACCTCACCGACACTAAAACATCACAAAGACATAATTTCCGAGTAGCTTCATTTTCTATGCAATTCTCAATTTTTATTAGTACACGTTTCTGAAGTGCCATGTACTTCATGTCAATTACCTGTGGCAGGATATCAATTTTAGTTCGTCAATTTCCCCCAACCCA